CAAGGACGTGTCGATATGTGTCATCCATACGGTATGACTGAGGAAGTGTTCCCATCTCTTGTCCGTCGATGAGTAGGGTGCCATAGACATAGTCGTAATGTACAAAGTAGGAGTGCTGCTCAGCTATAGACTGTAGCGTATACGACAGGTACCAGGTGTCAGGAACGACTGCCAAACCGGGCTCGGTAGTGTCGTATTCTCCGGGCACATGCCATACGGCATCTAAGGCAGCTCTGAACGTCACTGTATTCCCCATGATGGCCTCTTTCATGGCATCGCGATGCTCGTAAGCAAATAGTGTGTCTTTTGCGATGGCGTTGCGCATATTGAATGGCATTTTGTCGAACCTTCCCGCCAAATTGTATCGCAGCGAGATCGAAGCGTCAAGATACATGCGAAGACCCTGAGGGGCTCCCGACCAGTCGTCAATGTGCATTGTCTGCTTGCACAGGAGTGATGCCCATATAGCTGGCTGTAACACGTTCGGATCTTCCGTTACCATGGGCTGCAGCTCGCGACGCCAGCCGTCGGTGATCTTGCGGGCTTCATGGAGAAGTTCCCTTCCTTCGTTGCAGACTGATATGCTTGGGCTCAGTGAGGTCACCTTGAGTAGGATAGTGATGAGGATTTCCATCTGTATGGGCTCGCGCCAGTTTCGCCGGATCGCTTCCAGTCGATAGCGGACTTGCTGCAGGAGCTTGCTGCAAAGGCCATCATCCAACAGAGAGCGATGAGTGTCGGTATAATCGGTTTCGGCCGCACGGTCTGACCCTAGCTGAAGTACTAGACGCAAGACGAGCGACCATGTGGACTCGGACGAAAAGTTGAGATTGGTTGAGCCCAGCTCCCTGAGAAGGTCGAGCCACCTTGAATAAGTGCCGACCAAGAGACCTTGGAGTGCTGTAAACTCATGGACGCCAACGCCCTGAGGGCACCTAGCTTGGTTCGCCTGAATCTCGTTCGATGTCGGCCACAGAAAGTAATTGAGTCCAAGTGACACGAGTGGCGAGTTGAGAGGAAGCTTCACGGGAAAATGATGCCAGAAGGCAGCTTTACCGCATCTATCTGTCCATGCCTCACCAATACTGTCGTAGTACCTGGGCTTGAGGCCGCAAGTCCGGATGACCTCGTCTACTCCGATTGGAAAGCCCCAGTTTGCGTAATGACACTCTAAATGAGCCTTCTTGTACGAGCCAAGACTCACTCGACAGCTGGTTCTGTTGACGTATGGGCGAAGCTGTGAGTACTCCCGGACGAGCGACATCCGATCAAGTTTATCGGTCGGCTCGCGACAAAGAGTCGAAAGTATAAGCCAAGTTGCGTCTCGGTAGGCGGCGAATACTTCTGGGCACTGTAACTCGAATAGTGCTGCTTTGGCAGCCGGCTCATAGCTTGGTAATGGATGCTCGTAGATCTGGATCCTGATGCCCTTAGCTTCTTGGTTAAGGTTATGCCATTCGCAAGGAAGGCGATGACGTGACTCAGGCATGCCATCCCAGGCAACGAAAGCCTCCCAGATACACTCCTTCTCATTTCGCTTATCGATGGTTTGTGAATGGCGCTGGCTCTTCTCTTCCCATTCGATGTGCTTCGCGTCATAGGCAATGTCGGCTTTTGCCTCAATGTCTTCTCGCATTGCACACAGTTCGCCCTGATGGTCTTCCCGATCGTAATACTGTACAGCAAAGCAATCGTCGGCAGGATCGTCGAAGATAGTTCTGGACGGCACACTTGATCGTGCGCGAAAGCGAGCTTTCAAATACATGCGTACTTTTTGACTCCGGATCATCTCTTCGTGTGTAAGGAGCTGGATGGGATCCAATAAATCCGGATCGAACCCAGGATGGTATTCCTCGAGCAACGGGTAGCAAGTTACAGCATCCTTGTCCATGAGAACCCAAAGCTCCATGAGATGGAGCAACTGTTGGCTCTTTTGATTGGGATACGCCTGGTCTACGGCGTTGATGTTGGTGACGTATTCATGAATCACCTTACTCAACCGGATCGTTCGGAGGCCTTCTGGTTGCGTTGAACGCTTGGCAGGAAGTACAACATCCTCAAGAAGTCTTGACGAAGCGACATGGCTATCCAAAGCTCGCATGTAGGGTCTGACAGAAGCGACAGATCGCTCAAAAAGCTGCAGAAGCTCTGGAGCAGTTCGTTGTTGAGGTCGTGGAGAATGTGCGTGTTCCACTAGCACTCCTTTCAAAAATCTACCGCTGTTCATCAAACGAAGTTGGAACTCATGAGGATGGGCGTATTGGCGTAGCTTTGGGATGTAGCGTTCCCGTGACTGCCTATGGGTACGCCAGACTTGCTTCAAGTACCCACCGGTAGTTGCCAGTGAGGACTCAAAACTACCACCTAAGGACAGCACAAGATTGCGATACCTGTTGCAGGCGGACCTATCGGCACCATGAACATCGGATGTAAGCTTGGCGAGGCGACGACCCAGCTTCTGACGGAGTGAGAAGGCTGCATCAAGAGGTATCTTCTTCAACACATCTTCCAATAGCTGCGCATGCAGGAGACACATCACTGTCTTGTAGTGGAGTCTTCCGACCTCTGCACCCAAGTGGTGATACAAGTAACGCTGGACTGCAACTCGGAGAACCAGGTAGTAAGCGGATCTCCTCCATGGCGTTCGAGCATTGTCGAAGGTGACCGTGTCGCGCACTCGCTTTCGCAGACGTGGAACTGCAACTGCAGCGCCATTGGCCTCCAGTATAATCATCAACAGGCCAGATATGAGAGCGGGATCACTGGTGTCTCGGATCTCGGGAATCGTGGCGGCTGCCTTCCAGGTGATAGCGGCAAACTTTGTGACCGACTCGCTACTAGCTTGTTCGATGAAACTGGCGACAGCTTCCTGGAAAGCTTCTTCGTTGATAGTCGATGCTGGGACAGATACCGCGCAGCCGGGGACTACATGTAAGTTCAAGATCAGTAAATGTGCGACACCGATGTATATGTCAGTCACTTACAGTCCCATTGTAGCGCGCCTTTGGCAGCCAGCACCTTGTCGGCTGTGGCGGATGTCTCAAATGCTTCGAAAATGATGTTGCGCTCGCCGGAAGTGTCGTGGGGATACACGAGCAAAGCGCAGTTCTGAGGTGCGATGTGCAGAACAAGCATTTTCCCATGGCTGAAGTCGCGAAGCTCTTTCATCAGCGCCGCCTTGCCGATGGTTCCGTCGACATTGAGTATTTGACACGCGAGCAATGTTTTCCGCAGTCCTTGGACGTGCGGAGCAACATCTGCAGCGACATGGGGGGTAAGCCTCGCAATGGCGTCAAGCATACGCTTCAAGAGAGCTTCCTCGACGCGATGCAGGTTGCCATCTTCGCGGCCAGGTACATTGCGGGGCAGCGCTATATGGTAGTACTGCTGCTCAAGAAATGGCACTCGCGCGGCGGACGCCATGGCTGTTTCGAGTGCCTGCTGCAACGAGGCAGCGGGCGGGGGCAAGAACGAGTGTGGAAATTTGCAATACGACGGAAGTGCGGTATTGCGATGTTGCAAGAGTTGGCAGGTGGTGGTGTTGTCGAAAACGCGACTGCTTGATGAGGGCGCGGTACCAGGGTTGACTTAGGTGCCAAGCATTGTTTTGCTAGGCGGCAGCAACGCGTAGACGCCCTCCCCAACGATGAGCGATGAACGATGAATAGTGAGCCTTGCCAGAAGTCGTGGAACACCAAAGCGCAGTCTCGGACCAATCTCCTTGCCACCGGTGAACGAGTCTGCATGAGGAGACATGCCGGCCAGCGAATGGGTGACTGAGGCACTGTACGGCGCTACGAGAAACCCTCAGCCTCGCCTGTCCCCAGAAAAGAGACCATGGTGGAGATGGCGATTGAATTCCAGGATTAATAATGCTGCGCGCTTCTATTAGGCATGTCTTGACGTCCGCAATTGCCTCCTACTGTCCACGCATCAAACAAGTGGAGGATGCCTGGCGAAGGTGGGAGTAACAAAGAACGAAACTGTAATGCTTCCGAAAAGCGATAACGCAAAAAGAGAAGGAATGAGTCCAGATTGGCTGAGAGAAACGCCGCTCAAATGACAAGGATGATGGAGACGTGGCCTGCATCAAATGGAAAGAACGACCTACGTGTGTTAGTGTAGCATCACTACTGCTCTTCGACCTTGGAAGCTGTCTATCACCTTGAAGTGAAGGCAGGAGTTGTTTAGGTTGTTTTCAGCGGTCCAGACGACAACAGAATTGTCGATAGAGCTCATCCAGACGTTCCGACGCGCGTGCTGGTGAAGCGCGTGTTGTGACGCGACAAAAGTAGAAAGCGGCAGATTGGAGGCATGTTCTACTTCTTAGCGCATCAATGGTAGTTGAGCGCAAGTCTGTGGGAGCTTTGTGATGATGCATGATGAAGTTGTAGTCTCTATAGCTGAGAGAAGCCTGGTGGTGAGAGGTTTGACGACGCGTGAGGTACAATCGCATTTACCCGGCCCCTTGCCTAGCTCCACAGCTAGCAACATAGCGCCTTCCCCTCCCTTGTCTGCCTTTCGCATTTCCAGCGCATTTATCTCTCTGCTCCAATGACATCTTCTACATTTTCTGCGAACCCCCAATGAAGCCTTCGAACGACAGCGGCTAGCTCCAGCCGATCTCGCTGCCTCATGGAGGGCAAACTTCATCCATAATCGGCATATCGGCTGCAGCACCTGCCTGCCTCGGTTACTCTCTCCCCAGCTATCACCGCTATGCCTTGTGGGTTTATTCCCGCTAGATTAATCATCGCCACCATGAAGGCGGGAAAGTGCGAAAGGGCGCCCGCGACTAGCCCATCTCGAGCTCCAAGGCGCGATATTGGAGGTTGTGAATGAGTCTCTACACGCATCACCACTAGCTGGCTCGATGCGCTTTCGTTCCTATTATTCATATACCAAATTTATGCTGCTAGAATAAGCAGCGGAAGCTCGTTCGTCGGTACGCATTCGCTATTGGTCGAGTCTGGGATCTCATCGGCGCCGTCATCAGCACTATGCCGCACAGCAACTTTACCCAAGACGCGGCCGCGGGAACGACACCAGGAACCCACGCACAGAACACCCCGCCGTCACCCAAGTCGTACACTTCAGACAAGTCCCGTGTAATCGAGGACGTCGAAATCGAAGAGGACCGCGCCTCCATATCCTCAGCGTCGACGCATTCCGATTCGATCAACTCGGCAGTAGATCAACGTCCGTCGATACATCATACATGGAGTAGGAATACAGGGCACTCGTGGCCTGGCGATAAGGAGGATGCGATCGCAACTGTCACAACGAACGCGACGCAAGACCCGCGCTTCGAAATCGACTTCGAGGATGGAGAAGACCCGGAAGACTGGCCCATGTTGAGGAAGGCTGTTGTCATCTTCTTCATGAGCTTCTCGACACTGGTCGTAGTTATGTACTCGACAAGTTATACAAGCGGCATACCGGGCATGATGGCAACATTTGGCATTCAGTCGAAGACGTTGGTGATCTTGGGGATAACAACCTACTTGTGCGGTCTGGCGATTGGATCACTGCTACTGGCACCGCTTAGTGAGATGTATGGCAGGAGACCAGTCTACCTTATCGCTGTCGCATCCTTCACCATCCTCGTCATACCGTGCGCTCTGTCGAACAACCTAGCTCAGATCCTCGTCATGCGCTTCTTCGGTGCCATCGCGGGCGCCGCTATGATTTCCAATGCACCAGGCACCGTCTCCGACATATCCAAGGAAGACTATCGCGCATTGGCTTTTTCGATATGGTCTTTAGGGCCAATGAACGGGCCTGTTTTTGGCCCTCTTATTGGTGGCTTTGTCTTCCAAGCTCTCGGCTGGCGGTGGACGAACTGGGTCGTCATGATCGGCTCTGGTGCATCCTGGTTCATGGTCTTTCTGATCCCAGAAACATACAAACCAGCAATTCTCCGCGCGAAGTCAGCCAAGAAGCGTAAAGAAACGTCCGACCCCCGATACTACTCTCGCTACGATGAGAAGAAGGCTTTCTGGCCTCTACTACGGGAGAACCTCTACCGGCCGCTTAGCATGGCGGTCAATGAACCCATCTGCATCTTCTGGGACGTATACATAGCATTGGTCTACGGAGTCTTGTATCTGTGCTTCGTTTCGTACCCCATCGTATTCGGCGAGCTACGGGGTTGGTCGCCTGGACTTGTTGGACTGGGTTACATGGGTATTGGCATTGGCGGTGTCATCACGATAGCATCGGAACCGCTGCTTCGTCGCATGATCAACAGCCACAAGAAGGATGCAGAGACTGGTAAGCCATACCCAGAGGCTATGGTCAGTGTGGTCGTCATCGCTGCGGTGTTGGTTCCTGTTGGCGAGATGATCTTTGCTTGGTATGTGTCCTTCCTCACCTGGATCTTGTTTATGCTAACACATGTGTAGGACATGCACTCCCAACGTCCACTGGATTTTCCCCCTCATCGCCGGCATCCCCTTCGGCGCCGGAAACTGCGGCGTCTTCATCTACGCGTCAAACTACCTCGTTCACTCCTACGGCATCTACGCCGCCTCCGCTCTCGCTGGCAACGCCGTCTTGCGATCTGCGATGGGCGGTGCTCTGCCCCTCGCAGGTCCAAAGATGTATCAAAGTCTTGGCCCACATTGGAGTGCGACAATGCTGTCGTTGATCGAGTTTGCGCTCATACCCATTCCGGTAGTCTTTTATCTGTACGGACACAAGATACGAGAAAAGAGCGCGTTGATCAGGCAGATGAGAGAGGACAGGGAGAGAGTTGATGCGAAGAAGAGGAAAGCTGCTGAGAGAATAGAGAGGGCGAAGGGTGGTGTGCTTGATGAGAAGAAGTTAGACGTTTGATAGACTTGCATGTATAAGGATCATTGATGCACCGAATTAGACTTTTGTTCACCAAGATGCATTTGCACGGCTGGTATAATGCCCTATGTTGTCTGATCAACCTGCTCAAGGTCGTGATCATCAAAGCAATCCTGATCTACTCCACTAACAATACTCCAAGTCTCGCTTTCCTCTTGTTCTTCCTCCAGTATCACATAATCGTCTTGCCAGTGGTGTCCCCAGTCACTGAGATCGCTGTCCCAGCCTTGGTCATACTCGTCCAGCTTCTCTTCCTGTATCCTCTCTCCTTGCCTCCTCGAATCCATGTCATCATCATGCATCCTCTCCCTCAACTCCCCGCTAGCCCACTCAACAAGACTACACCTCTGCACCTCCTCCGGCGCCGGAACCTCCCACTCCGTCCCCACCCCAAACTCCGCACAAGCACACTCCCGATCCAAAGTGCACCAACACGAACACGTACAAGACCCCCCACCCACCTCCGAGCATTCATATCCGCAGCCAAGGAACCAGCACCCAGACAAGTTCCTATGCCACTGCCAGGTATACTCGCCCCACCACCAGAAGCCTGGTATCACGGGTAGAGCGGGTTCGTTGCGGCTACGGCAGCGTTGTTTGAGTATTTTAGGAAGTGTGAGGATACAGGCTAGTGTGGCGTGGGCGCGAATCCCGGAGAGAGAGGTGGGAAGGGTTGTTTCGTGGGGTTTTGCGAAAGGCGCGGTGGGTATGGTGGCGCTGACGCGACCGGGTCGCCTGGTATCGCGCATGGTGTGTGGGAGGATGGCCAGCGGCGCGGGGCTCGTGGGCCCGCCATAGGTGTGTATGCGGTGTTCTTTGACGCGCCGCATCTCTGCGATGCGACGCCGGGCCCAGGTGCCAAAGTCCTCGCCTGTTATAATGTCTCCGGTGGCTGTGCCTTCGAAGACATGGGCATTCTTGCCAAAGAGTTCGTAGGCTTTTATGTCGTCCATGTGCTCCATGTCTACTTCATGCGCCCATCTGTCGTAGCAGTCGTCCTCCCATTCTCGAATGTCTGCCTGTTTGGACTCGTGCCGAAGCTGGTTCTCTCGTGCGAGGCGATATCGGTCGTTGCGACGACGCTTGTTGCCGCTGTAGATGCGCTCGGGGTATCTCTTTGATCGTTGGCGTACGCGACGGGCTGAGCGGACGTCTTTGAACGGGTGGTCTGATGTCCGGCCAGCGGCGTTCATCGCAGGTTCGGAAGGAAGGGTAAGAAAGCCGAAAGGCAGGTCCTCGTGTGTTTCTGGCAACTCGCCCATACAGGTTGTACACCAGTCGGCGGGATGGCCAGCCCATTCGAGCGTCTTCTGCTTCATCCTGACAGGTTCACGGTGAAGGGCTCCTGGAGCGACTTGCAAACGGAAGGCCTAGCTGTGTAAGTTATATGTGGGTTAGCCATCATTTGAGCAGTCTCTAATGACCGTGCAGGAGCCTGGATATGTCATCCTAAGGCGTTCTACTGCCTGTGCAGCTCCGCCCTCGCGCAATGGACGAGGGCGCATGCCGGTGCAGAAGGGCGGAAGTCGACGGCAATGTTGCCGCAGGATCCAGCGACGACGTTAGTCTGTAATCAATGTGTAATCTTCCATATTAGGCGCAAGCTTGTGAGATACTACTTTTGTACAAGATCATAGTGGTGGGTGAGATGGGTGTGGAGAGGGACGGTGTGGTCACAAAGTTGGTGTTGGGCGCAGCTGCACTCAAGGCGCGTGGTAACTTACCACGCACCCGCAATCGACGGCTTTTGTGAAGTTGCCTAATTCGGACCCAACGCGAAACAGCATACGACCACAAACTCCTTAAGCTATCTCATTTCGAACGGCTGCAACGATGTAGATCCAATCGAAGTAAAAGATTCTCGATGATTGCAAACTATACAAGATGATCTACGTCCCGCAACTTTGACCCTAAAGCTTCCACTGCTTGCGGTCATACTGCTTAGGCCAAATCCCAGATTTGCCCGGCGCCAAGATGCCGTTGGGATCAACAGCATTCTTTATCGTCTCGTTGAAACGCCTAAAGACGTTGTTGTTGAACGAGTACGTCTCCATGATCTGATCCATGGCTGCAAGATGTGTCCGGTACTCTCCCCATCCTTGCTTAGCACAGTCATCGATCAGCGTTCTGAATAGCCATACGACTTTCTTCTTTTGTTCCTCGTCTTTGCGATTGAAAACAATGCACACAATGTGGTGCATTTCGCGCATGCCAATCGTGAATGTACCGATGAAGTCAAGGCCAGCTTCATGACACCGGGCTTTGGTGAGAGCGAATTGCTTGGTTGCGTCTTCGCCATTCACCCTAGAAATTGGCGAAAAGAAGAGATGAGAGCCATTTGGTAGCCAATCCAGCCATTTGAGCTCATCGTAGGTGGGTATACCTTGCATAGTCTTGTGGCGAGTATGCAAGATTGAGTTTGCCTCCTGTCGGTCTTCTGGGAAGTAGAACTTTGCTCCTGGGATGGCCGAGAAGGATTCTTTGACGACAGCCCACATTGCATCACGAATTGGCTGCGGCCCGTAGAGCGCACCATAGAAGTTCCACCGGCCAAGATTGAGCTTTTCAGCTATAGCGTCTAGCTCGGTATCTGTGAGGGGCTTGTTGATATCTGAGGTGTAATCGGATTTGTGACCCAACACAGCGGCGTCGAGGAGAATGTGTCGAATTGTTGGTACATTCTGGAGGACCATGTTCAATCTCAGCGGCCGGATGATGTCAACGGCCTGCTTCAAGTCGTCCTCACGAGGGATTGTGATGAGATATGACTGGTAACCACCTGGATTTGGCATGAGCCACATGCCCATCTTTGTAGCGATACCCAGATTGGATTGTGTGAAAATTCCGTCAACGTAGGGGCCGAAGCCGTAGTTGAACAGCTGTGCCGAGTCGTTCCAAGGTTGGTCTTGGGGAAGAACACCGGCCTTCTCATGAGGGTGAGGCAATGCACCCATACCAGTACGGATGAGCTCGCCACTCGGTAAGACGAGCTCTATGCCGCAATGCATCATGAAGTGATCTAGTGAAAACGTCAGACCGGAACTGACAAGCTTCAATGGGCAGGACTTACCACCATAAGGGGTGTAACCAACACCTCTCTCCATAGTGTTACCTAGAACTGAACCGCCACCAAGATCAGGTACGTCAAGCCAAAGCTTGTCGCGAAGGTTGTTCTCGACGAGATAGGTGTGTAGATCGTGAAATGTGACTCCTAAATACAGATCAACGTCGTGAACGGAGAGAGGCCTGAATTGGCGACTGACCTGGCTCGACTAGAGCGTAAGCACCCTCTACATTGACTTCGAGGATCTTGTTCATATATTTGCCCATGTTGACGACAACACTACCAGATACGCGTGGAGCGGCGCCTCCGTAGCCTGAGTTCCTCCCAATGCTAATGGGCCACAATGGTACATGGTACTCATTTGCGGCCTTGACGATAGTCTGAACATCGGCGACGTTGCGAGGGGCGATGATAGCTGAAGCAAGGAAGAAATCTTGCTTCATGATGTGATGAGGGTCGTGCGTGTAGTTCGGCTTCATGTAGTTGCCATCGTCAATCTGGGACGCGGAGGATATGACTTCGATGTTGTCGCGACCAACATCATGACAAGCTGTCAAGAAGTTGTCGAAGACATCGCTGCTGACGTTGGGTGGCAGCGCAAGTGATTTCGCGGTTGCGACCATAATGATATTGTAGGTAAAACTTGGCTAGTGCTCTGAGTAATGCGGACGCAAAGTAATAAGTTCGTGATCAAACCTTGGAAGTAATTACGTGAGGAAGCGTTGGAACCGCCTGAGGTTATAAAGTTCCATGCTATCAAATGCCGTGAGGTCAGTGGCAGATCCGACATGAGGGCGACCAATGTTCCCGAGGTCCAGTCGCATACAAGAAACACCATGGTGTCATACAAGTGGCATCTAGTCAGCCCATCTGGTTGCCACCCTGATGTATCTGGGGACGGTAGATGGCAGTTATTGTGATAGAACCCCGCATTAAGTGGGAGAAACCCGTCGTTGCCCCTAGCTGTGGGAATTTCCCGACGCTAACGCCATATCCGTACCGGACCGTACGCCGGGTCCCCGGATTCGCGTGACTGCATTTAGGGCTGTGAAGTTATCATGCAGCATCCCAAAAAAGCTGTTTCCTTATTCGAAACCGCAGCGCATATCATTTGCGACCTCTACGTTGCCGTCCCCTTATTCGGCACAGTGGTACATCCGGTGTGGTAATCTCGTATTGGTGGTCATTGCTGGGAGTCAGATCCCCCCGGCGCCGATAGGACGGCTATCTCCCACAGCAGCCGCCACCACACCCAGAGTCAAAACCCAAACAACCCCGCGAACACTTCAATATTGTGGGGGCGGGGAAAAGACGGATTTCCTGGGGTATTGACCTAACCCAAATGATGATGGACCTGCGCATGTCTGTTGTATTCATACCTAGGTAGACACACTACTACTATTACCTAGGTACTACTGCGTCTGTTCCAGCTCAAGCTGATCTTGTTCATAAACACACACTCAATCAAACATCACAATACACCGAAATCTTCTCATTCGGAACAATGCTTGTTACTTTGGCTGTCGCACCTTTCTATGTCGTTCTTCTAGCAGTCATTACATCGTATTGGATCATCTGGACTGTGTACTCGCGCTTCTTTCATCCTCTATCGAAATATCCTGGTCCGTTTCTCGCCTCGATATCGCGGCTATGGATCGTACTACAAGTCGCTGGAGCACACGCGGAGGAAACACAGAGAGAGTTGCATGCCAAATACGGTACCAACACCGCGCGATGCAGTCTGGTATTCTTCTGCTAACAGTCCAAGGTCCGATCATCCGCATTGCACCAAACGAGGTCGCTATCGCTGATCCCACTGCAATCAAGACCATCTACTCTATCTCTTCCGGTTTCACAAAGGTGTGTATTATCTACCCGTCGGGTCAGGAACCATGATGATGAAAAGCCTCAACAACTAATCCAGTTCTCCAGACTGACTTTTACCCGTTATTCCGTCCTTCCTTTGCCAGATACCCTGATCTCTTTACCAATCTGGATGAGAAATCTCACGCTAGCCGGCGTAAGATCGTGAATAATCTATATTCCATGTCCAACATTGTCCGCTCGGAGGCGAATATCGACAATTGTACCAAGACTCTCATGGAGAAATTTCATGAGATCGCGGTGAAGGGAGATGCCATCGATGTGTCCACGTGGGTACAGTGGTATGTTTCCTTCCAGCACTATGCATCCGCATAAATACAGCTTCCAATGCGCGTACTTATTATGCTAACATGTCATAGGTACGCATTTGATGTCATAGGCGAACTCTTCTTCAGTCGCATGTTCGGTTTCATGGCGCAAGCCGCTGACTATCGCGGCTACATTACAGCCCTTGACTGCCTCCTCCCGATGCTGACAACAGCGTGCGTCATGCCCTCCTACATCCGGCCGGTTTTCTTGACAGGCGGTGCGATCTTCCCGCGCATTCTCAAAGCCCTCATGAGCCTCAAGAATGTTGAAACAGCAGCGAAGGATGCTGTCGCTGAGCGATCCGCACTGATGAAGAAGGGAGAGGCCGACGGAAAGGACGACATTATGAACAGTCTGTTTGAAGTCATGGAGACTAAAGGCGAGAAGGTTGATTTTGGCCTCACTGAGATCACAGTAGAGGTCTACGTTGCGCTGTAAGTCTAATAGTACCTGAGCATCTCGTCGGAAACAGGGCTGTTGTACTGACCTTTCTGTTGCTTCTAGTTTCGCAGGATCAGACACCACCGCGGCAGCCATTTCGTCTATCTTATATCACCTCATGCGCTCGCCTAGCGCGTACGAGAAACTGACACTAGAGATTGACAACGCCTCAGCATCTGGCCAGCTCTCTTATCCGCTCATCAGATACAATGAAGCTATCAAGCTCCCATACCTGGACGCATGCTGCAAAGAAGCGATGCGTCTTCACCCAAGCGTTGCTTTGACAGTGCCACGCAATGTTCCGGCTGGTGGCTGCCAAATATCTGGGGACTTCTTTCCTGCAGGAACAAGGGTAGGCATCAACGCCGCCGTGATACACCGTGATCAAAACATCTTTGGGCCCGACGCGGATGACTTCGTTCCTGAGCGATGGCTCCGTGCAGACACCACGATTATGGATAGGCATATGTTCCAATTTGGCGGAGGAGCCCGGACTTGTGTGGGGAAGAATGTACGTATCTGGCCCCAATCACAAGTGCCACCACTGATACTCCTGAGAAGATCTCCCTTTGTGAAATGTACAAAATCGTACCACAAATTCTCCGTACTTACCATCTCTCACTCGTCGATGGCGCGCAGGATTGGGAGACACATAATTATTGGTTCCACAAAACGAGTGGTGTGAATACGAAAGTGCAAGTACGCAACGTGGATGAGGTTATATCCAAGATGCAAGGGTAGCAACCAAAGGTGGATTTCGATTCGAGAAGACGGTCGCATGAGTCCTATAGGTCCTTAAACACTTTCAATAATCCCATGTGCTGTTAAAATCTCTTTCCAAAGTAATGTTCATGTTTCGATCACTCTACTTGTACGCTATCAGCCTCTAGCTAACCGTGCTGTATTGTGTCGCTATCCATACCCTCGGCGCGCCGAGCCCCACAATCATTTACATCCAATCGCGAGCAGGCTGCGGGGGCCGTGCACCTCATACTTATCCCCATATATATACCGTTGCTTGCAACACCAAGTCGATGAATTCAGACTACGTGTCGCTATCCATAATCGAGACAATGGTTCCACTCCTCAACTCGGTGATCAGCCTTCGTGCCTCGATCATATCGCCATAGCCAACACTACCAGCGGTTTCCTCAATCCTCCTACTTCGGTTATCATTCCACGTGTATATCTTCTTCAGTGTCGAGTATGCGATCAGCCAGTATTCAGGTGCGTATCTCATAAACCCAATGCGCTGCCACATTGTCGACGAATCACTTTCCCTCCCCAAGAGATCCACCAACTCCGCATCTCTAGTTTCCGACGGCCATGATTGCTGCCAATTCCGCAATCCATTGGTGATTGGCGCCATGCGTACCAGATCTAGCGCAGTAACTGCGCAGTGTTCAAGGCCGTATACCTGCAAATACAGTGCGTGGATGATTGTGAACATGTTGAGAACGCTCAGGTGAGCAAAGGCGCGATGGATAGTTGGCTTTGCCATGATCGCATTATCACACAGTGCGTTGACGGCGGACAAGATGGTGAGGTTTGTCGCATCGACACCCACTCTTTTGCGCCAGACCTTAAGTTCGATGAAGCACTCTTCTTTTGAAGAAGCTTGAAAACAGGATTCTGGGGACGACATCTCGATAACCAATTCGGACAGAGCCATGCGGGGCACATGGCGGAAGAACAGGGCGTAACTTGCGTCGATATTGCAGATATATGAACAGATGCTATTAAATCCAGTCAGCATTAGAATGTCATGTGCTAGGTCAACCCATACCGAATGAGTGACTCCCGGAGAATATACTCCTCCCAGTCGAAATCAGCTGGATGGGATGTATCGACTCGCTTGAGTGATGCTTGATCTAGTCCTATGTCTCGTGCTAGCTGAATCATCATCAGTAGGTCGTCGATCATTGATCGAAAATACTGACACAAACGAGGTCATTGAATCGTTGCTGCAGAACGCGTTTTTTACTCTGCTTACTTCCTTCCCACGTTTGATACAGACAGACACAGTAAGCAGCCTGGAGAACCTGCAAATGTGTGCTCCGACGTTGGGTGGTCGTTGTATCTCGCCATGCGTTCGAAATGTCGTGATCATGGAAAGCATCATCACTGAAAACGAGGTCTTCGACCAAGTCCAACCAGACCTGGGCTGAGGCATGATCGCGCTCTTCTGGCGACAAGCAGGCACCAACAAGAACCATTACAGCAATCAACTCTGGTGACTTCTCTTTCATTTTGAAAGTCGGCGCATGTATTGTGGGCCAGTTAGGATACCAGCAAGACCAGAAGAGTGCCAGGAATCTTTGTAGATTTTTCGGATTGAAGAATGCGTAACATAGAGCTTCCACGAGAGGTGACCAGATGATATCAGCGGAACCGTGGTGATGCTGATTTATCGCTGTCTCTCGGATTTGATGGACGATCTTGTATGTGACGGGCAGTAACACGACTGCATCAGCTATGTTCTCATTGTTTTCCACCAGTGCATTTCGGGTAATGTCAATCCAGTGCGTCGCCGCATCCGATATTCCTTCTCTCAGAGTTGAAAGATTCTCACCCGGGTTCGCCTTGAGTGGGTCTGATGTGATTGAGAGTCTCTGCTGCTTGGTGCCACACCCAAATGATCCGACAAATCCAGTCGCCTTGGTGAAATTGTCGAGGAAGGGGAACTGGATCAACACGTTGATGTTCAGTTGTGTTGGGCGTTGGCAAAATGGGGCCATGATTCCGTGTTCAATTAACAGTGAACTAGGGCTAGTCCAGGAGCTAAGTTGAATGCGAGAATCAGGATTGAGCTGGGAAGATAGTAGCGTTGATCCTATCCCATGATCGAAGTCGGCCATGGGGGAGTCCGAATGGTCGTTGGCGTCGTCCAAAATCTGGAATACTGACTCATATACGTGCATATCGAACTCGCTGTCAATGTCGCCGCGAGGTGCTACTAGGTCGTCACCGACATGGCACTCCACTGTGCCGTTAGTCTCCGTGTTGAAAGCATCGATATCATCGATGAAGGAATTAGCGTTGTCTGCCTGATCAAGTCTACTCTCTTGCGGTCGACTATACTTGCAGACTTGATTTCGTGAAGCACATGGCGCGCATGGTTGTGAGGAAGTACAAGCTCTCTTCAACTGACGGCATTGGTCGCAGGCACGGATTTTGCGTCCTCTTGCTTTGGTCTTAACCGTCGGAATGGAAAGGTTGCGAGCCCTTCGAACACCACACGAGTTCCAGTGTCGTTTCAATGCATCGCTGGGTTCATAAGTTAGGAATCGGTTGCCGCGGCTCGGCGATTTTATGTCCACTCTGTCGAGGGAGGAGCGTACCTTCTGGCAAATCTACGGAAGCAAAAGATGCAGACGCTAGACCTCTTTGTGCTTTCCATGTCGACGCTGCAGGGGATTGAGTGGATACTGCAGAAAAGTGATAGCGCTCGCTGCATTTGAACGCATTCTTGAACGCCAAAGGGAGGGGACCTCGGGAAGGAGCGGAATGCGGGGGATCTACGCGCTACAGTGCCTGTGCGCGTGACGAGCCAAGTCGCGTGACGACCTCGGGATGCCGTGGCTAGCTTTGACTAGGTACACATGGCCCCGAAGTCCATGGACGATTCCAGGGGCGTTGATGCAGGAAATGAAGACGATGCTTGAGCTTAGCTAGGTGCATATCTCCGAAGCGCCCAGGGCTGTCAGCCTACCTGCCACCCGCTGCCGCTGCCGCTCCTTTCACCACCTGTGCAGCCTTTCCACGGCCACAGCAGAGGATGACCGCGAGGAAACAGCCGTCGCGATATATTTCGAGTGTCGCACCTGGCTGAAGCGGCTCATGCGACGTTCGAATGGAAGCAATGTGTGTCTTGCGCAGTGCTGTGACATCTGCCGAAGAATGATCGACTCGGCTTTGCGATGACGTCATGCTCGCCTTGCACTGATTGATGATGCCAATACGCCCGTGAGATGTATTCCCGCTCGCATACTCCGATATATCTCCTGTATAACCAATTCGAACGAAACCAGGAGCAGTAAAGTTTGAAATATTGGGATTCATTCACGATGACCTCAAACATCTCGTCCACAGTCCCCCTCTGGATCGACAACAAGCCCATCCACACGCAAACCACCATTCCCGTGACCCAAGCCAGCACCTCCAAAACCATCCACCACGCCTCCTCTGCCTCCAGCACCGAAGCAACCCAAGCGGCCGCATCCTCTTTCTCTGCCTTCAAATCTTGGCGCTCCACCTCCCACACAACCCGTCGCAACCTCCTCCAAAGCGTAGCCACCCACTACGCTGACAATGCCTCTACGCTCATCGCCGCGCAAATCGCCGAAACCTCCTGCACAGAAGCCTGGGCGCGTACAAACGTAAACCTCTCCATCTCGTACCTCAACGAAATCGCCGCGCAGATAAGCAGCGTGACAGGCGTTATTCCCCCGACTGAGAAACCCAGCACACAGGGTTTCGTGTTTAAAGAACCCATCGGACCGGTCTTATGCATCGCGCCCTGGAACGCGGCACTCGTTCTCGCTACGAGAGGAATAGCAAGTGCGATAGCGGTAGGTTGCACTGTAGTCTTCAAAGCGAGTGAACTCTGCCCCCAAACCCACGGACTCATCACGCAAGCTTTCGCTGAGAGTGGATGTCCAGATGGCCTGTTGAACCAGGTGCAATGTGGGCGGAAAGATGCGGCGGAGGTGACCGAGACGTTGATAGCGCATGATGCGATTCGCAAGATTGAATTTATCGGCAGCGCGGAGGTGGGGAAGAAGATCATGGGGATCGCGGCAAAGTATCTCAAACCGGTTCTGATGGAACTAGGGGGGAAGTGCCCGGTGATTGTGCTTGAAGATGCGGATTTGGAGGAGGCGGCGAAGCAGTGTGGGATGGGTGCTGTGTTGAACCATGGGCAGATTTGCTTTAGTACTGAGAGGATTATTGTGATGGAGGGGGTGGCGGAGAGGTTCAAGACGTTGCTTGTCGAG